TCGGTCGGCTTGAACTTGTCTGAAGTAAACGCCGATTCTTATTTTTTATTTATTTACGTTCATCTTCTTCTTCTTCTTCATCTTCATCTTCTTCATCTTCTTTACCCATTAAGTGACTGCAGATCTATTTTTAGAGTATGATCTCTCGACTAATTTCCTAATTTGCTCCACTTCTTGTCTGGCGTACGCGCGCGCACATGAGAGTGACGAGAAAGCGATTATGGTATGGTTAATCAAGTGAAAAGGAAAAGTATAAGAGGAATTCGAGAAAAGAGAAAAAAAGAAAAAACGCAGTAAGGGGAAGGAGCAACGAGTTTGCGACTCGCCTGATGCTTCGATGATTAACGTGACGTCCATGTACAGTTTCCTCTTATCTCTCGTATATAATACGAAGCTTGTATATTACAAGTGTTCTTTCTTTTTTTTCTTTCGATATAAAGTTCACCTGTATGATTGTGATCCTATTGTTCGAACAAATCAATTATCGCCTGTCTCGATGGTTGGCTACAGTCAAAAATTGAAATCAAACGAAAAATAGTATGGTTCGATAGAAGCACGAGTTCTTTCACGGAACTGTATTCCTCTTTTCTTCTTCTTTCTTTCTTTCTTCGAAGATATTCAATTGTACTGCTTCTTTTAAACTTTTGTATCGTAAAACGTGACTTGATAGTACTGGCATGCAGATTCGTCATTTTTCTTCTTCTTCTTCTTCTTCTTCTTTAAGTCGCAACGACAACAATCACCGTGAAATTCGTATCTGGAAATCTGTCAGTATTTTTGTTTCTTCTTCAATGATCGCGCTTAAAGCCTACAATGAGACGTATCTAGTTTACTATTCATATAGATAAAGTTAGTACGATTAGTTGAATCTTTAGACCCGCTCACCTCCTATGTTATAATGTATGTTACAGCTCATGTGAATGTTACGTACGTATCGGTATGTACAGGGTGAGGCAAAACATTTCCACACCTGGCCAGATTTTCGTCGTTGACAACGATATGGAAAAATGTTATATACAAAAATAAGAGTCAACGAATTATAGCATTTGCTGCAAAAAATTATCCACGGTTCCATAATTCGAAATTAATAACAATCGTTTCACGATCTTCGGTGACTCCGAGTGATCTTCAATGATAACATACCGAAATGGCCACAACAGTGATGAAAGAAAATATAGCATCCATTTAAACAAATATTTAAAAACTGAAAATAATACATTAATAAAATAAATAATATTTATAAAATATATGTTCAATAGAAGCACTGTTCTTTTACGGAACTGTAACGTTTGTCCGAAGATATCTTTAAACTCTTCTATCGTAAAACGTGGTTTGATAGTATAGGTATGCAAATTTTCTTTTTTTTCAATATCGTGTCAAGTTTGTGTATAATATTTTTCCACGTAATTAGAAATAACGGAAATATTCCAGGTGGACAAAGTTTCCGCACCATCCTGTACATAGACCACGCGTGAACACGCGTGCACTCGTAGTGTTTAGTGTGTACATGTTAGCAGCAGTTGTAGATTTTTCATGTATGTTTCGGTGTGTGAACGTGTATTTATTTTGTTGCTAGTTCTTTACAAGTTATGCAAATAATTGCAAAAACATACCCTGTTTCCTAGTATCACCGACACCACGGCTACTGGATATCAGGTCGCGGCGCGCGTGACTTGAATCCAATGTAATCCCACGTAAAATTTGGATCGATGACGCAGTATAGCAGTGTCGAGAGGGTTGATAATTTTCAGTGTGCTTTTTGTTTTTTTTTTTGTTGTGTGAGTACGGTGATAAAGGTTAGTATGTTTATATGAAATGTTTGATCATTATTATTATTAAAGTTAATATATATATATGTGTGTGTGTGTGTGTGTGTGTGTATATATATATATATATATTCGAGAGCGGAGGATATTCGTTCCCGTTTCCCATCGAATCTTCGTGCGTGTCCCCGCGTGACTACCATAAAAATTCCAGGAAATGTATCTTCGAAAAGGGTAGGTCGTGAATTGGCTATTGCGATAACGACCGCCGTATCAAAATGAATAAAATCCGACGAAACGTAGCAGTGTTACATTTTCGCTAGTTCTCACTTTTACAAGTTTCTCTTTTTCCCAGGTAACTTTTATGGTTGACAATACTTATTGGACAACGACGACCCCGCGAGTACCAATTTCTTTTTTTCTTCCACGGTTTCGACAAATTGCCACGTGACAAAAACCGAGGAATCGCGCAACTTGAGAATTCGTCGAACGATTTTTTTCTCCCTTTCTTTCTACAGGTTCGGTACGAACTGAGGTCGGCGTGGAGAAAAGAAAAGAAAAGATATAGAAAACTTGATACTCGGAGTGCGTCGTCAGGACGCTTGAATTTTCGCGAGCACGTCGCGCTTCCCGAGCGGAATTCGGAACATTTTAATTTGCGAGCAACGAATTCGTCTCAGCATTACATCACGTCATGTAAAAATAAATTCGAAGCTGATGCTCACAGATTACTATTATCGCTATCTTTTTTCTCTTCTTCTTCATCTTCACTTGTCCTTACAGCTAAGAATATTGTTTTTTTTTTTTCTTCCTTAAGTCTTATTTATTTCATAGCAAGATGCATACTACTTCGGTTGTAGCAAAAACTTTGTTGGATAAAATAGTTGTATTTTTTTTTTTTTGGTTTTTTTAT